TGGGAATTTTCCATTTTAGTGTCTCCTCAAGGGCTTTTCCCTTTTAGCATTGGCAGAGCTGTGGCCCAGGCACCCTGGCTCTATAATGCATGTGGAAAGACAGTCTGAAGGTGGATAAATGAAGCACATTTGGTATCTGACAAATTGTGGGTTAAACTGGGACTTTTTTAATGACTGACAGGCCCAAGAATGTAGTTTCCTTTTGTCCCTGTGGTGGTCCCCAACTATCTTACTGGTAAGTTCAACAATAATGGATATTGGGTAGTCAATTAGGCATCTCTACCAGAATCTCCATCTCTCTCAATTGTGTAGTACTGAAATAGAAATATTCAGGTGTGGGGAGCCATCCATGAACTACGCATGAACTAAAAGCGATGTTGAGGCCATTAGGCAGGAAATCCCTGCATCAGGAACTCCCAGTAGCAAGCCCACTAGTTTGGGAATGCCTGGTTCCTGGGGCATCCTGCCTAGGGCCATCTCAAGTTCAGCACAGCATGGAAGATGGGCGGGACCCTAAGAGCCAAAACCTGCCTACCCCCACCCATAGCCTGTTTTTCTTGAAGAAGCTAGCACGGAGACAAGAATCATCACACTGAAACCTTATGCCTACCAATCCACTTTGATCTGTACCCCTATAAATAAAGCAAGCGAGGGCTCCATTTTTGTTAGATGCTGTACCCCTCTGGTAGGCTTAACCCGTCACTGTGCCCTCTTTTTCAACTGTCTTTTTTTTCTAGTCTTTCATGTTTATTTCATGATGCAATTTTCATAGCTTTTATTTCTCAGCCAGCCCATCCCTTCAAAGGGAACCCTTTCCCTCGCCCACACCTGACATGAGCGAGATTCACATTCTCAGTGACAGAGCTGTTATTAAGAAAGCATATCATGTTTCAAAATACTAAATAAAACATTGGTTGAGTTTTAAAAATTCAGCAATGCACTTAGTCTGTTTCCTATCTGTAACAGAATACCTGAGGCTGAGCAATTTACAAAAGAACAGAGGTTTATTTAGCTCCCAATTCTTGGGGCTAGGAAGTCCAAGAGCATGGCACCAGCATCTGCTCAGATCAACTCTTGGCATATAGAATGCAAATTAAAGTCACCCATATGATCACCAAGGATCACAACCAGTGTAGAAACGCTTTGATGGGTTTAAAAAAAAAAAAAAAAAACCAGACGTCAACTTCTGATTACAAGATTCTTCCAAAAAGTTTTCGTTTAAAAAAAAAAAAAAAGGTGGAGGGGCTGGGGTTATAGCTCAGTGGTAGCGGGCTTGCCTCCCACAGGTGAGGCACTGAGTTCCATCTTCAGTACCACATATAAAAATAAATACAATAAATAAAGTAAAAGATATTGTATCCATCTTTTAGAAAGAAAGAAAGAAAGAGAGAAAGAAGCTTTCAACCATGAAGAATTTCCAGCCATCTATCTATCTACTCGTAGCCCAAACATTGATATCATCATAGCTAGATTGTCCAGGATCAACCAAAATCAATGACATTTCCATCGGCAAAATAAAAATAACTCATATTAGTGACAATTAATACTAAATACTGTTTCTAGAAAAGAAAAAAAAAAGGTAAGATTTGCTATGTGAGCATTTGGTAGATAACACTATAAAATATGTGTATTACCAAACATATTTATCACTAAATGGATAGTTAAGCAAATAATGTGAAAAGCTGCCGAGTATTTCAGGTGGATTGTGTTACTCCTTAACACACACAGCAGTGCACAGGCACACACAGAATCTCCCAAACTGCATTCATTTGGACTAGGTAGGTATGTATAGAGTCAAGCCCTTGAAATGTAGGTTTCCAAAGACATAGGTTTAATTTAAAAAAGAAATCTGAGGAATTCAGTTTTCGATTGAAATACAATAGCAGGAATTACCATGTAACAATAAATGAAACAAATATCATAGGAATAAATTCACTAGTGACAATATATGCATTCATAATTTTATTATAGATAATTGTAACTAAAGAAATATCAACAAGAAAAAAAGTGGTTACTATAATTTCTCTGCCCCAACTAAAATTGTCTAGATCTCCTCTATGCTCCTTGCCATTCTTTTTTTTAAATTTTTTTTTAATATTTATTTTTCAGTTTTCGGCAGACATAACATCTTTGTTTGTATGTGGTGCTGAGGATCGAACCCAGGACGCACGCATGCCAGGTGAGCTAGATACCTCTTGAGCCACATCCCCAGCCCTCCTTGTCATTCTTGTTTGGATGCATACATGTTCAAAATATTAACTCTATTTGTAGCTCCCCAAAATTTTTTTGCAGGAGCAATTTGCCTTTTCCGAGTCTTACATAAAGGTTTATGAAAAATTATAGACTCATGTTACATTTTCCAAGCAAATTATCCCCTCTTAGCCCATTATATAAAAATGCTGGGGGTGCCACTGAAAAGGTACATTTTTGAATTTTATGTTTTGTTGCTTACCATTTATAAGGAATAGTGCTTTAATTGTTATCATTTTTATCCTATTATTTTGCCATGTTTACCAGACCACTCCTCTATGACTGTATAAATGTTGCAATTGTTTCTTCTTTTCCTTCTAGTCATTTTCCAATGAGCTGGTTATTTCTGCAGTTCGGGTTGTGGTGAAGGGAATTTAGAGAAAAACATACTAAGGCTCTTTAGTTACAGCAATAAGTAGTATTCTGTCTGATTTACCAAACATCCTTGTCTCCCCAGAATTTTACTTCTGCTAATATTAGTAAGGATCTTAAATGGGGAAACATGTATTGGGAGTGTATGAAAATTATATCCATGTATTGTTCTGACCTATGAGCATACATATGTTTCCTACATTTATGGATATAAATCATTCCTCAGAGCTGAATAACACAAAGTAAACACTAATATCAATAGATAAAACAATTTGGAACTCTATTATTATTTTTTATCAGACTACTTTTCCAGGCAGCTAACAAATATAGATTTAAATTTTTTATTTTCACTCTTTTTTTGTCAAAAGATTCTATATATTGTCTCACACTTTTGGATGATCCAAAAATAACTGTCTCCTTGTTCTTAAAAGCTTCGTTCCAGCAACTGTTGGCAAATTTATCATTCCATCACTACTCATGGACCCCTCTGAGACCCTGATGCCTCTTGGCATCTCTATTTATTCACACCCATCTGCCCCTCATTAACACAGTTCTTTCCTCACTGACGCCAGACCACATGCTGGACTTGGAAGTGAAACAGCTAGGTCAATAATTAATAGATTTTCCCATCTGGACCAATCAAGAGGTACTCTAGCAAGCTTAAGCAAAAAGGTTCAGCATAGGAAAATATGGGCTTAAATTTACTGAGATAATTGGAGGAACAGAGAAGGCAAGGGTTACCAGAATCTCTCCCAGATCAGCACTGTGAAGCTGGCCATCTCAGAGAACTGCAATTTCAGTGTGACCATTGGGAGCCTAGGGAATAAGAAAGCTACAGTCTCAGCTGTGGGCAGCAGGACTGTCCCACCTCATCTGCCATCCAGGTATCAGAAAGCTATCAGCCTGTCCTCAGAGCCATGCTGATGCAGCTGGAGTCCCACCAGCACTGTGAATGCCTCACACCTCATCCCGTCCCTCCCAACTCCACTGAGCTCCACAATAAACCTGGCAACAGCAGAGCCTCCAAGCACATTGGAATCTCTAGCAACAGGGCAGTGAGGGCCGTGCAGGCTTTCACCCTTGATGAAGTTTTTCACTTTCCAGCCTGTGACATCCAGAAATGAACACCAGGAGTTGGAAGAAATGCTGAGCAGACCAATCAGAATCTCATCACGAATATGTATCCCCTGCTGTGGTCTGAATGTTTGTGTCCCCCTCAAAATTCATGTGTTGAACAGGAACCTCCAAAGTGATGATCTTGAGAGGTGGGGCCTGTGGTAGATGATCAGGTCATGAGGACTCTGCTCTCATGAATGACATTGGTGCCCTTGTAAAAGCTTCAGGGGCCTTTTTAGTACCCTGCCACCATGTGAGGACACACAGAAGGCTCCATCTTTGAGGGAAGGACCCTCAGTGGACACTGGGTCTGCTAGTGTCCTGAACTTGGACATCATAGCCTTCAGAACTGTAAACAATAAATTTGTATTGTTTGTGTGTTATTCAATCTACTGTATTTTGTTAAAGCAAATCCAATGGACAAGATGGAAATTCCTTCTACAGCTCTTTCTCTGAATTCCTTAACTCTGACTTCTTCACTACAGTGCTGTTCCTGGGAGAAGTGAGCTGAAAATAAGCTTTTCCTGCTGGGCATGGTGGCACACCCCTGTAATCCCAGTAGCTTGAAGGCTGAGGCAGAAGGATCACAAGTTCAAAGCCAGCCTCAGCAACTTAGTGAGACACTTTCTCAAAATAAAAAAAAATTTTAAAGTCTGGGGATGTGGTTTAGTGGTTCAGTACCCCTGGGTTCAATTACAAGTACCAAAAAATAAAATAAAACAAAATAAAACTTTCCTCATCTAAGTTGTCTTCTTGGAAATTTTGGACACCATGACAAGAAGCTGACTAATATAATTATTTTCCTGACTCCCTTCCCACTTCTATTTAGCATTCTCTGCATTCTGAACTTAGCACCTCAGTCCTCTTGGCCTGCATACTCTCATCCTGTCCCTTGGAGTAGCATGGCAATCCACCAAACCATTACTCCAACATCAAAATCTTCCCTAAGGAATAGAGCAAGATTTTCACTACATCCTGAAAGTATCCACCTGCATAACAGGCACCTCATACTCAACATGTCCAGTCCTAAATCATTATCTTACATCCAAAATCAGTTTTTTTACCTCTGGAATTATTTATTTGTGTAAACCATATAACTTCATCCATTTGCTGAAGTTAGAACCCTGGAAGTTAATGTGATTCTCCTATTTTCCATCTGTTTCTCCATCCAAATAGTCACTAAGGCCCATTAAACTCAGTGGAATCCTTTTATCTGAGTTCTGAATTCAGTAGGTGCTCTTGAAAGAAAGACATCAGACAAGGTCATTCTAGCACTTTATTGGAAATTGATTGTGTACGTCAATGAAATAAGATCAAAGTAAAAGCATAATTTTTACACAATAATATCCTAATATCTGTGCTATCTTGTTACATAGTTTAATAAATCCCAGGATGCTCCTGTTGTGGATATCAAACAGCTTGAGTGGTCCAGAAATATCTCTATATATAAATACAAATCATAGCATCTAAAATTATCATCACTGGCTTGAGTTGGTTCCAAAAGTCTTGAGAACGTTTCTTAAAATATAAATACCTTGGATTTGACTACAGTTCTGGCGGGAGGGAGTAAGGAGTATACGTGGAGCTAATGACAGCAGGAGCCGGGACAGAGGGACATAGCATCTCTAGTGTGGGGCACACAGGGGTTGGGGACTGCAGATCCTGAAAGCTGAGCAGGGTATTGGACACCTTGCATTTTCCAACACTGACTGAATGGCAAACGAGACTCCCCTGCAAAAAGAAGCCCATAACCCTAACTCCCTGGGCATTGCCAAACAATGGCAGAGCCTTCCTCCAGAGTATACAGGGACAAACCTCGGGCACTGAAGAGATTCTGGACAGCTTGACTCAACTCCCTTCTCCCTGCCATGTCCAGCTCCTGCCCTCCTTGACAAGGGAGAAAATTTAAGGGAGTGATGCTTCAAAGAAACCAACACTGAGCCAGTGTGTCTCTAGCCCCTGGGGATGGGGGCAGGGTGTCCTTTGCTTGGTTTGAGGGGCACAGGAAAAGGCTGCTGTGTCCCCAGGGTCTCCCTCACCACCTTGAAGGCCATCACCAGCTTTTAGGCTCTTTGCTTCTTCAAGCTTCTCAGCTCTTGGCGTGACCCCTGGACATCTGTGGTGGCTTCACTGTTCTCAAACAGCTTTGTCACTTGGTTCTCACAACCCTATGAGGTAGTGGGGGCAGGGATCATGATCCCTGGTTGAAAGCCAATGAACCCAGAACTCACAGAGGTAGGTCCCTCGACCCAGTCCACACAGCTGGCCAGTGGAGAACCAAGACCAGAATGCAACCTCCCAAGTCCTTCCCACTGTCTTGCTGAGAACAGGCTGGGGCAAGGGACTTGCATCCTGGTCCCCGCTGGGGCTTTGGGTGGCTCTCAAACAGCCCCACTGAGCACTGGGTGAGTCCGCATGCGGTAGATGATGACGGCAGTGGCTGGACACAGCAACAAGGAGGTCATGATGACGATGGTGGCCAGGATGATGAGGACAATGGCCCAGATATCCAGGATGTGCTTGGGAAGCACAGCTTCCATGGGGGATTGGCTGATGGCATCCATGCTGCCTCTGCAACACACAGGAAAGGAAAATCAGCAGTCAGAGGCTTGGGTCACTTTTTAGCATGTGATCCTTATGGTTTCTTTATTGTATTTTTTTGGAGGGGCGGGTACCAGGGATTGAACTCAGGGGCACTTGACCACTAAGCCACATCCTCAGCCCTGTTTTGTATTTTATTTAGAAACAGAGCCTCACTGAGTTGCTTAGCGCCCCACTGAGTTGCTTAGCGCCTCACCATTGCTGAGGCTAGGTTTGAACTCGTGATCCTCCTATCTCAGCCTCCCTAGCTGCTGGGATTATAGACAGGTGCCACTGCGCCTGGCATCCTTATGGTTTCTTGATCAGTAATTGTAATGGCTTCCTTGCTGAAGGCTTCCTATGACCATGTCTTGCAAGGGACTTCCTATTACTCATTCAGAACTCACATCAACCACCTGTGATGAAGGGACTGTACTAATGATCCATGTTTTGTTTCTTCACCTTTATCTTCCCTTATGCCCAATTTACAGAGAAGGAGTCAAATCCTTGAAAGAAGGACACGCTTCTAATTTGACCAAGGAGTGAACCCAGCTGCGTGGCACTCCAGAGTTTCCACACTTACTTATTAAACCACCATATTACCAATCTGTCCCCTCAGCTGTGAAATGAAAAATTTGTTGTTTTTGTCCAGTGTTCCTTTCTCATTATCCTGTAATAGAACTCCCTCTTTTCTAAGGAGAACCTACCTGTGGGTTAGGTGGGACCTTACCTGAGCACAGGGATGGAGATGCGACCTAGCCTTGCCCCATAGTCAGGGGATTCAGGGGTAGGCGAGTGACCCAGGATGGTCAACTAAGGTCCTCCCCAGTATTTTCATGCACAAGCTCTAGGAACAAAGGATTATTTCTCCTGGGATTGCTAAAATAAAAGGACATGAGTCTGGAAAGAAAGGGCCCAGGACTGCCTTACTTACATTTGGAGAGTTGGTCCTAGATATGGAAAGACAGACCAGCCTCAATGCTCATGTGAGCACTTGAACTCAGAGAATTTGATGCCATCTGTAACCCTGGACACCCCAGTTGTAGGAGCCAATAATTCCCTGTTTCTTCTTAACCCACAGCTCATTCGGTGTCTCTCCATTGCAGCTAAAATAATTCGGATGAGTGAGGATGTGTTGCAGTTTAGATGTAGTGTCCCCCAAAAGCTCACATGTGAGACAATGCCAAAAGATTTGGAAGAGAAATGATTAGATTGTAGCCTTAAACTAATCAGTGTTTTGATCCCTAATGGGATTCACTGAGTAGTTAACTGGAGGCAGGTGAGGTGTGGCTGGAGGGAGTGGTTCACCGGGATAGTGGCTTTGGGGTATATATTTTGATCTGGAGAGTGGAGTCTCTCTGCTTTCTAATCTTCATGTGAGCTGCTTCCCTCTGCCACACTCTTCCGCCATGATGTTTAGTCTCACCTCAAGCCCTGAAGAATGAAGCGACCGTCTATGGACTAAAACCATGAGTCCCCAAATAAATGGTTTCTCTACTGTTGGTTTGGTTGGGTCTTTTAGTCACAGCAGTGAAAAATCTGACTAAAACAGAATGTAAATCAGTCATCCCTAATTATTTTTTATTCACCTTTTATTCAACCTTAGGATCTTAATTATTTTTTTCACAGCATTCTGGGCCAAAAGAAATACCTAAAAGTCCTATATACTAAAGAGTTAGGTTGAAACAGTTCAATAAGTGTCTGTGTCCTAACACCTTAGCAGCTGTTTGGAAAACACACAATTTAAAAGAAAAAAATATTATTTCATTCTTAACTAGTTACTTACTAACAGAATGTGTGCACTGTTGGGCTCTGTACAACTTTTCAAACTTTGGACAGTGCTATCCTCTTTTCTTATTTCACAGTAATTTTTGCCCAACAGTTGTGTCATGGCAACCATCAAAAATTTAACTTCATAAAAGATGACATCACCAAAAGGAATGTAGTATGTTTCAAGTTTAACAGTAACATACCACTTTGTATGATGTCTGAGATCAGTCTTTCTGCCCAAAATATTAAAGATCCTGCAGCACACCTTCCCTCAGTCCAGGGAGTTCACTGTGGCTCCCCAAGCTACTTCAATGCAGAACCTGGCAACCAAAGATGTAGTCCCTTCCCTGCCCAGAGGGCAAGAGGCAGGAACAATCTTCTACTGTTCTCTCTAAACCTAAGTTCTGTAATTCTTTTTTTTTTTAATATTTATTTTTTAGTTGTAGTTGGACACAATACCTTTATTTTATTCATTTATTTTTATATGGTGCTGAGGATTGAACCCAGGGTCTCGCACGTTCGAGGCGAGTACTCTACCACTGAGCTATAACCCCAGCCCTAGGTTCTGTAATTCTGTAACCCTAAGTCCCAGAAAAAAAAAAAAATCCCCATTCCAGTTTTATTTCCTTTTCTTACTCAGTCACTGCTTTCATTTTCTAATGCCTTGGGCTCAATGCGCACTGTTACCACCCTACATAAGTACCCAAGATACCCCCATGTACGGGTGATTCTGCATTATCTGTTATCATAACCTACACAGAAGTGTCTGCAAATAGTAAAGTGGGACATACCCATATGCTATGGTGTAGATAGGTTCAGTGTTGTCTTCCAAGGGTTCATGAGTTCATTCAATCCCCAATGGAGGGTATTAAGAGGGTGATATTTAATCTAACTTCGATATTTGGGGGTGGGGCTTTTTAGAGGTAATTAGGATCATAGAAGATCATCGAGGTACAGTCCCCATAATTGAATCCTGGTAACTTTATAAGAAGAGAGACCAAAAGAGACCCCATCTGTTACACCTTGACTCTGTCAGCCAGAAAGTCATCACCAGATGCACCCTTTGCCCTTCTGCCAGAACTGAAAGCTAAATAAACATCTTTTATTTATAAAGTTAGCCTGCCTCAGATATTTTGTTATTAATATAAAAAATGAACTAATACCATAAAAGGAATACCAGGCAGCAATTGTCATACATTCACTCATTCATGTAACAAATATTTAGTGCTCAGTACACACCAGGAATGTTCCACATACATTTTACAAAAACAGAACTATCTTATGATCCAGCAACCCCAATTCTGGGTATATAACCAGATGATGTGATATTAATACGTGGAAGAAACACCTTTATTTTCATGTTTATTGCAACACTAATCACAATAGCCAAGTTATAGAATGAACCAAAATGTCCATCAACATGAGAGGATAAAGAAACATTGTAAATATACACAATGGTATACAATTTAGCCTTTAAAAAGAAGAAAACTTGCCATTTGTGACAACATGGCCAAACCTGTAGGTCATTATTCTAAGTGAAATTAAAAAGGCACCTAAAAACTTACATGTTCTCACTTATCTATGGAAGCTAAAAAAAAAAAAAAAAAAAAAAAAATCACCTAGAAGCAGAGCAAAATATTGGTACCTGGAGTTTGGGAGTTGGGGGAAAACATGTTGGTCAAAGGATACAATGTTTCAGTTAAACAGGAGGAAAAATGTAAGTCTATGGAGTGAAAAAAAAATATTTAATGATTATTAAAAGGAATCTAACATTGGTGAGCTCCAAAATATTTTAAGTTGGAAAAACAATAAATAGAATGCATAGGATGATTTTTTGGGGGGGAGGGGGTTCAGACTTTGTAGAATTAAGTAGATGGGTAGGTAAGATCATATCCATGAAAAATATTTCTGAGTATAATCCCAAGGAAAGTTGGTTAATAGTGGTTACCCTCTGGGAAGTTGAACCAGGAATATAAGATACATTTTTGCTTTTCATTCTTCATGTTTTTATACCATTTGAATTTTCTAAACATAAGTATGTATTCTAATCTTTTTACCCCACTGAGGGGAAAATGGGATTTGGGGAGTTTTATTTAAAATTCTCATATTTAAAAAGGATCAATAAAGCCAGGTGTGGTGGTACATGCCTGTAATCTCAGCACCTGGGAGGCTGATGTAGGTGGATCACAGGTTCAAGGCAGTCTCGGCAACTTAGCAAGACCCTAAGCAACTTAGTGAGACCCTGTCTCAAAATTTAAGATTTTTTAAAAGATTTGGGGATATAGGTTAGTCACAAAGCTTCCCTTGGTTCAATCCCCAATACCAAAAATAAAATATATATATATATTTTAAAAAGTAAATACATATATACTTTTTAAATAAAATTAAGATATGAGACTAGATCAAAGATTACCAAATGCCATGAATGAGAATCACCTAAGGATGGTATTAAAAACACTAATATCTCACTGGAGCTCACCAATGTAGATTCTTTTAAATAGCTATTAAATAAGTTATCTTTTTCACCTCAAAGACAATTTTTCTCCTGCTTAGTTGAAATGAACATGTACCCTTTGACTAGCATCTCCCCCCACTGCCCACATAGTAAATGAGAATCACCTCAGGATAGTATTAAAAAACTGACTTCTAGATCCCAACCCAGACTCAGTGAATGAGACTCAAAAGCAAATGGGCCAGGCGAAGTGGCGCACACCTGTAACCCCAGGGCACGGGAGGCTGAAGCATGAGGATCACGAGTTCAAAGCCAGAGAGGCGCTTAGCAACTCAGTGAGACCCTGTCTCTAAATAAAATACAAAATAGGGCTGGGCGTGTGGATCAGTCATCAAGTGCCCCTGAGTTCAATCCCTGATACAAAAAAAAAAAAAAAAAAGCAGATGGGAAGGCACATTTTCCCCCACAGCTCAGGTAATCTGAGTACGCAGCAGCCAGGTTTGGGAGGTCCTGGGCACAGCCATCACCCAGGTCTCTCAAACTTTTTCTAGTACTAAGATTTGGGAACTGATTTCTAGGGGCTCTTGTAGCCAGGTTGGCCATATCTGGGCAAGTTCCAAGATGAAGGAGAAGCCTCTGGCAAGGGTCCCCAGGGTCACAGGATGATCAGGCTGGGGCCTGCAGAGGAGGGAGAGGCAGAGGCCAACCCTGACTCAGCGGTGGAGATGGAGTCATTTACTCCAAGATCTCAGACACACAAGCCTGAGTC